ACACCCAACAGTGCTTTTTAACTTATAAACAAAATAATGTGCAGTTTGTTGAATACAGAGCACATTGTGAGCTGAGCAGGATGTAAATTTGAGCCTCTCTAGAATGTAACTTGGGTGTGTACGATAATTTTTCTGAAAATACGATAATTTTGAGCTGCTGATACGATAATCCAACATTTTCCATCTGGCAACGCTGTACAGCATGCAAGTATTTATTCATTTATAGTAACAAAAAAATTAAAAGGACAAAAAATGAATAATATTTCATAATAAGAGTCATGCAGAGACAGAAAACTTGGAAACATTTTCAGTTTGAGCCTTATATGATAATAAACTGATCAATTTAAGTAAATAAAGTAAGTAAAGTTTATTTATATACACCATAATAAAATAAAGTAAAATGTACAAAGCATAAAACAGTGTAGAAATAAAATAAAACAGTAAAAACAGAGATTAAGAGTTTAGATGTGTGCAGTCTTTGCCTCTAGGTGTCGCTGAGACTCCATCTTTTATTTACCACACGTGTTCTGATCTGATGAATTAAATCTTAAATATTTTTGTTTGTTTTTAAACGAACGCCAAATAAAGCTCAATAGTATTATTATCTTTATTTATTTTTGTTTGTTTCAGAATATCTTATTTAAGAAACTCACCCTCTGAGAGATGAATCTGATCCAGGATCAGCTGAGATCCGGATCGGATGAGCGACACTAAAGTTTCTCTGCAGACATGAAGAAACTTTCGTATCTTTGCTTCATCTGGACTCTTGTTCTGGTCCGTCGGTCCAGAGGAGAAATGTTTACATCTGTGCAGAATGTGAAGCAGGCGATCCGATGTGAAGAGAAACTGATGGATTATCTGAGGATTTATATCGATCAGGAGTCTGAGAGACTGCAGGACATCAGGCGGTGAGTGGAGACACTGAACTCATGGAAACACTTTTATCAAAATATATTTATTTATTTGGTCTAAATATCTTAATTATAACAGTTTGACCTGAGTGAGTTTTAAATTTTACATTTAATCAGTTTATTTTAAGACTGAGCTGTTTTACTCTGAAGGTGTGATTTTTTTTAATTCCCAAGAGAATATATTCTTCCTGTGATACTATTTAAACCATTTAACCATTTATTCTAATCAGGAAATTAACTGCGGTTTTTTATCGAGTTTCTCCGCTTTGTTTTAAATTAATGTTTGTAAAATATATATTTTTAAAACTTCTGAGCAATCCAACAGAGAAACTCTTAATTTATTGCAGATTATAAATTTCAATTCAGACTACCCTGTAAGTACTAGTAGGTAAATACTAGGTATATTGTAATCACCTGGTACTTTTAAGGTCCAGTAAGTTCCAAGTAAGGTTAAAATGGTACACACCTAGTACTTGCCTGCTACTAACTGGGAAAGGGTACCCTATAAGTACTAGACGTATCCTGTAAGTAGCAGGTACTAACCCAGTACGTACCTGCTAAGCATCTGTTTTTTTAGGTATGTACCGCTAAGGATTAGGTACTTACCTTGTACTTACCCAGTACATATCTGGTACATATTAGGTAACTATGTTACTTAATGGGTACAAACCTAGTATCTGCTTGATACATACCTGGTAAGTATCTGCAACTTGTATAGTATGTGCCAGGTAAGGACTTGCCAGTAACTACCTTGTACATACCTAGTACGTAATGCGAGGTACCTACCCAGTATGTGCAGGAAAGTACCTGGTTTGTACTTAGTATGTACCATGAAAGTACAAGCTAAGTTCCCAGTACGAACCAGGGTATTACCATGAACATACCTCGTAAGTCCCAGGTATTTATCCTTAAATACTAAGTTTGTACCCTTTAAATATTATGCAAGTACACTGTAAATAACAAGAATGTGTCCAGTCAGTATCAGGTATGTACCCTGTAAATACCAGTATCAGGTATGTACCCTTTAAATACCAAGTATGTACCCTGAAAATATAAAGTATGTACCCTGTAAATATCAGGTATGTACACAGTCAGGGTCGGGTATGTACTCTGTAATTGCCAAGTCTGTAGGCCTACCCTGTTAGTATGAGGTTTGTACCCTTAAAATAGCAAGTATGTCTTCTCTAAATCCAAAGTGTGTACTCTGTCAGTAAGAGGTATGTACCCTTTGAATACCAAGAATATATCCTGTAAATAATGACATACCCTGTCAGTATCAGGTATGTATCTTTCAAACACCAAGTATGTAACCTGAAAATACCAAGTATGTATCCTGTAAATGACAGTGATGTACCCTGTCAGTATCAGATATGTATTCTGTGTGTACTGTATTTTTACTATACCTTTCTTTAGCAACATTTCCCTCTTTCCCACAGTTTTTATGACAAAGTGTGGAACCTGCACACAGGACTTTATGCAGGTTCCGCTGCTGCCGTGGGGAACCCTCTGGTGGCCTTCACTCTCATCAAGCGTCTTCACTCAGAGTGGCTGAACGTCGTTTACAGCAGCAGAGCTCAGAGGAACACAGAAGGTCAGCCTCCTTCTGCCCGTACGCACATCTGGACGTGATTTCTCCAACATGCTCCTCCTCTCACGTTCGACCTTTGCCCCTCTGCCGTCCAGACCTCAGGTTCGGCTACGAGGAAGAGGAGGCCGACCTGCCCAAAGCGGAGGACCTGCAGGGGGCTGCGAGGGGTCTGATGAGGCTGCAGGACGTCTACGCTCTCCAAGTTTCAGGCCTTTCGAGGGGAAGGTTCCAGAGAATCACCAACGGGGAGGTGATGAACGTCTGCCTCCCTGACGTGTCTGTCTCGCTGTCCGGAGACGACTGCTTTATGGTTGGAAAGGTGAACTCACTCTCACCTTTTCCATGTAAAATATGAAACACTTTCAGATTTTAAACTACGCATCAGTGTGTGAGTGGGTTTGTTTGCCCCATCTGAAAGCTGAACTCTTCTGAACACCAAGTTATCTTTACTGTAAGAGATTCACTCTCTGAATAGTTCAGGGATAAATCAAACCTGGTCCCAAAAGATTTTTAAAAAAACGTAAAAAAAAGGGCTGACAAATCAGTAGCAAACATGGAGAGGGCACTTGTTCCTCTGCTTGAACACACCTGGTTTAAATAAATACGTGATTAACAGGCTTCTGCAGAACTTGAAGAGGTAATTCAATCACTGAATCAGGTGTGTCGGAGCAGAGGAACCTATAAAACGAGCAGGACAGCGGCCCTCGAAGACCAGGATTGGACACACCTGGGCTAAATCGACTGAGGCTGATGAGAGAAGTGGCTGCAGCTGTGGCAGGTGAATAAGCAGGATGGAGGAGCTGATAAGTATGGAAAACTACTGGGAGATAAGGCTTGGTGTAGAGGAACTAAAACACTAAACAAAACAAACTGGAAAACACACAAACTCAACAAAAAAATAGAGATTTTACCACAAAGCTCAGAGGAAAAGGCAAAAGGCAATAAAAGATTATAGTGTTTTTTTATTTCTTTTTTTTTTCTTGTGAAAGCAATTTCAGGAATGATGAAAGTAGAGACGAGTGTTTTGAATTACTACTAACTAATTATACAAAAATTACTCACAGATAATGCTTGGAATTTTGCGTCAAAGGGAGCTTTGTCAATAAAATACAGCATATCAGAAAGCTTATGTTATAAACCAGCGTTTTTTAAGGGCAAAAATGGGTAAATTTCTCATGCAAGAAGACTAAATGGGGATTTAGGAGATGTCTTTGTGAATTTTTTCCTCACCAAATAATTTCCCGTTCCACATGTCTGAGTGGTGGGAACCCAAACAGCATGGAAACAGCTGGGATTCCTCCCACTGAGTGCTGGGTAATCCTTTTTTTTTTTTTTTTTTACGTCAGGATGAATTGATTATTCCACAAAAAGAAGAAAGAAAAAAAAAGTTCCCACATAATAAAAGCCTCTTTGTTTGTTCAGTGGTGATGTGTAAGGGCAGGGCGGGACACATGCTGCTGTACGGAAAAGTGATCATCTCTTTAGAAGCAAAGAGAACACAGCTTTTACTAAACCTGACATTATCTGTGAACTCAGGTAATTATGTCGCCGCTTCAAAAGCTGCAGGTTTTAATGAAAAGCTTTATGCAGTTTAATATGGGGAGAAACTGGGTGCCGTTTGACTTGAGCAACAGCTTCTTTTAAGCGTCTTCAGTCATTCATTTACTCTTTTTATAAGTTTATTGTTTTTTAAATTATAGCTTTGAGAGGAAACTACTCGCAGAGAAGTTTTTGTGAGTAGGTTCCCCTGGGTGTTCTGGTTCAGTAAGATCCTTTTAGTGAGGGACGACTTAAGGAAAGATTCCCATCCTGCTCGTTTTCTTCTGGGGCTCCAGGTTTGGGGGGAGCTGGTGCCTATGTCCAGCAGAGAAAAGGTCCATCAGTAGACCACAATCAGCAGGTCCAGCCTGTGGCATAGGCAGTATAGGCAAATGCTGCGGGCGGAACTTATAGTACTCAGTGAATCAGAGTAAGAATACTTGTTTGTTTGTGTCCAGGTGGCCTATGAGCAGCAGGACTACTATCACTCTGTGCAGTGGTTGGAGGAGTCGGTGCGTCTCCTCAGGGGAGCAGGAGGACAGTGGAGCCCTGAGGATGAAGGAACTTTAGAACATGTTCTGGATCATCTGGCGTTCTCCTACTTTAAAGTAGAAAGACTTCATTATGAATCATTATTATATGTAGATGATTCAATTCTCTTCCCTAAACCTCTGTCTTTCTCTTAGACAGGAAACGTCTCCTTCGCTTTGAGTCTGTCTCACGAGTTACTGCATCACAGTAAATATTTAAACCATTATTACATCATTCTGTCTGCGCTGCTTCACAGGAACTTCTCAGTCTCTTTTATTTCTACACCAGTGAAAATCCAACTCTGACTGATTAAATGCATTGTCTCCAAACAGACCCGATGAACGAACGAGTTTTGAAAAATGTGGAGAAATATGAGAAGTTGCTGGTTGCCGCAAGTCCACCCAGAGCTGATGGGTTGAAGAGACCCGCCTCCACTCATTTAAGGACACGGGAGACTTATGAGAGACTCTGTCAGACTCAAGAATCTCAGGTATTCAGTAAAATTTAATACTTTATATAAGGGAGATACAGAACACAGTAGAAAGCATATAATTAAGTAGTATCTTACCTGGTTTACATAGCTTTTTGAACAACCTCAATTTAGAGCGTTCATCCATCCACTCTCCTCCAAGCTAAGGTCATTCAAAGAGCTATCAACAACAGGTAAGATGTTATTTGTTCATAGCTTTTCTCTTTCAAAATCAGAACTATTTTTAATGTAATTTTAAAAAAAGCATTTCAAACACAAAACCGTTCTCATTCATTTAAGCAAATTCAAGTTTAAACATTTGACCAAACTGTAGTTGTAAAATGTTTATTTGACTATAATTAAAGCTTCATTGCTTTTAAACCAAAGTGTAGGGAGAACCATGCTGAGAGTGATTGCGCGTAAAAGAAAAAAAAAAGGAATAAATTCCTTGTTTGAATTTGTTAATGGACTTCAGATACGTTTCTCTCCACAGTCGGCGCGCGTTAAAGACCCTGTTCTGTTCTGTGACTACTACACCAACAACCGTCTGGCTCTGCTGCTGCAGCCGGTGAGACGGGAGGTGCTGAGCCTGCAGCCGTTTGTGGTCCTTTACCACGACTTCATCACCGACGCCGAGGCCAAGGACGTGAAGAGGCTCGCTCAGCTGGGTGTAAGAGCTCATCACCTGTAGGTGAAATTACCCATGTGTCTGCAATGGGACTGGATTTTTACCATCAGCACAGGATTTGGATGGATCCAGTTAGGTTCCTAAATGTTTTTGACCCAGGCTGAATTTTGCAGAGGAGCTTAGCTGAGCTGAGGATGGTTTGAGTTTGTTCAACAATGAAAGATCTTATCTAAATTCCACAAATCTTCTGTGGTACCAGCAGCTGTTTGGCTCTATCTCTTGAGATTTTTCTTTGAGTTAAAAAATATTTTATTATTTGACTTTTATTACCAAAATTGTGGACAAAATAAGATAAGAAACTGTCTTTTATGGCAAAACGTCCTGCACGTTCATCTGTGTGTGTCTGTGGGGCCGGGCACATGCATTCTAAATTAAATTTAATTGATTAGTTTACTTTTGTTTATTTGGCAGCTGGCCTGGCACGTTTTCCATAATGTGATGTTAAATAAAAATGAGTGAAGTGAGTTGAAACATTTACAAAAAATAAAAAAAGGTAGAAATATAGCAAATACTGTCACTTCACCTCCTTGTCTGGATGTCAAACAGCTCACGGCCACAGGTAACCGCGAGCCCCCCGGTTACTGACTGATTTGTCTGGCAGTTATCTTTGAGTTTAAGCAAAACGTCTCCATAGCTTTCTGCGCTGTGGGTTTTACAACCTCCTTTTACGTTTTATTCCTAATATTTATTTCCCAGTCTTTGTTTTGTTACATTTTTGTTTGTTTGACATAATTTCCATTACATTCTGCTTGAATCAAATTCTGCATAAATCCATATTCTTGCCCTGTTTCTTTTTTTATAACACAGTGTAAACTGACCATGTCTGCTGTGAGTTGTGATTGACAGCTGCCTCTGCGCCTACCTAAACTCTCCTCTTCCTTTGACTTTTCAGACAGTCAAAAGGACATTGTGTGTGTGTGTGTGTGTGTGTGTGTGTGTGTGTGTGTGTGTGTGTGTGTGTGTGTGTGTGCGTTATGTTAATT